AATTCACACGGAGTATGGCCACATGTATGTATGGCCATACTTTCCAATGTCCAACATTGTAAAATTGCACAACCGTGTGAATTCACAACGTTCAGCAGTGTAAAATTAAAATGTTTAACGTTATAAATTTACAAAGCATAATAAATTAACATTGTTGAATAAGTTATTTTACATTTGGCGTGTCAATCGACACAAAATTTTTTTTACAGTGTACTATATCACTTATTTACTTTCACCAGACTAAAAAATAAACATTAAAAGATTAGGTTATGTTCCTATTTTCAGTTTATTATTGGAAGCCATATTTAAAATTAAAGGAACTGTCACACCTCCAGTCAACAGCTGCCTGCACAGGAAGCAGGTCGTTCCCGCCCTGATTTGAATTTAATAAAATTAAAGATCCTTTTTTAATAAAAAATTATTAATAACAAAAATGGTAAAATTACTATAATAATAAAAATAAATGATAATCAAGGGCAAATTCAAGAAGTAAACGCAAAAGATAATTTTTTTAAACACTCTCATATTTGCAATGCTCTTAATTATAACTTGTATTTGTTTTTTCTGTTAAAATTTGTTTAGAATAAATAAAAATGAAGTGTTAATATAGATAACTGATTGGAAATTTTTCGAGGATTTTGAATTTGGGCTTAGTTTTTGTCTATATAACTGCGCATGCGCACAAAAAGCAAATACTGTAAGGAAACCTTGAAAAAATTTGAATTAGCTCACTATTTTGCATAAAAATGGTTAAAAACTCAAAATATGCAAATTTTAGGTATAACCATTTTAAAGTATAGCTTTTCAGCTGTCTTTCCTGAAAATTAGAGCCAAATCGAAATAGGTCATTTTGAGTTATGAATTTTTTTTAAAAAATCAGTTTTTTTAATCTACTGCGCATGCGTTTAGAGATAGGTCAAAAATTCCAACGGCATTGGATTCTTTGGAAAATTTCCCATCGACTAGTATCTTTCCAATTTTTTTTTTGACCAAAATTAACTTTTTTTCGAGAAGAAATGGATTTTTCAATCTTCATTTTGAAAGATGTCACTTTTCACGAAATTTACGATTGTGAGTGTTCTTTATGAGATAGGGGCTTGAAATTTTGGCTAGTTAAGTATTTTTAGAGGTAGAATACGCCTAAAAAATTTGAGCCAAATCGATAACTTGTCACCGACAACTGTTCGTTTTACCCGTGGAATCCCTCATAACCAAATTGAAAAAAATGAATTAAAAAATTATTTTTTTCGTTAATTTTATTGAAAAGTCGAAGAAAAACCAAACTTTTTTTCTTTAGGCGAAATTTTTCTAATGTCAATAATTTTCTAGTTATATGTATATAATAGAAAATAGGTCTACTTTAAAAAATCAAAATTTAAAAAATTCATAACTCGAAAATTTGGCCATAATAAAAATGAATAAATAAGTATACTAAGGAACGAAGAAAAAATGTTTGTCTAAATTTAAAATATGAACTGAAATCTTGCGTGGAATTACCCCTATATTTTACAAAGTGAAATTTTACTATTCCAGAAAACAAAAAGTACCTGAAAACGTTAGAAGTATCAAAAGAAGGCAAAATAATGTAGAAGGCGAAGACTTCGGCCAAAACTGTCCCAAAAAATGGTAACAACGTGTCAGCGAAAATAATAAAAGATAAGCAAAGAGCCGTGATTCAAAATCAAGTCAAGGAACAAGTGCTACAGTTAACTTCCATCACAGCTCCACTTCATACAAAAACAATGTCTAAGAAAAAGGGTAATTAATTATTTTTTTTTTTCAAAAAATTCAAAAATTAATTTTTTCTTCAAAAAATTAAAAATTATTTTTTTTTCAAAAAATTAAAAATTTTAACTTTTTTTAAATTTTTAAAAATTTTACTTTAAAAAAAACTTAAAAATATTTTTGCAGGGTGTCTTACGGTCAAGGAAGTCAGGGAAAGTCAGGGAATTTTGTTGGTCAGGGAAATGTCAGGGAATTTCAAAAAATTTCATTCAAAGTCAGGGAAATTTCTGTAAATTTCTACAAAAATTAAAATTTTTTGTGAATTTAAAAATTTTTTAGTCTAAAAAAACTTGAATGGTTTTTATTACCATTTGTTACTACCGATAGAAATTAATTTATTAGTCAAAATAGCTGGGATAGAGAGCACTTGTTAAAAATCGATTTTCATAACCGAATTTATTTGGAACTTGTTACTTGGAAGTTTTTAACGTTTCTTTTGACGTTTCGAAAGTTGGATTTAAAAATTTCAAAATGGCGGATTAAAAATGGCGTTCAAAAATTTCAAAAATGGAGTGAATTTTTTCGCAGTTTTTTCCTCGGGGTTTTTTGAAATATTTGAACGCCATTTTGAATTTATTAAATCTAACTTTCGAAACGTCAATAGAAACGTTGAAAACTTCCAAGTAACAAGTTCCAAATAAATTCGGTTATGAAAATCGATTTTTAACAAGTGCTCTCTATCCCAACTATTTTGACTATTTGAGATAGTTATTTCATGTTAAATAAATTTTCTGTGCAATTATCATGCACTTTTCAGTTTTGGGACTTAAAGTTGTAGGTTTAAGCTTTCATTCAAGCCCTCGTGAAGGTTTTTTACGGAACTGACCGAATGAAAAATTTTTTTTTGGGTATATTCTTGTTCAGTGACACCTAAACTTTCAATAAACACAGAAAATTTTAAATAAACACGACTTGACCATTTTTTTGTAACCCAGTGATAATTATAGAAAATTATAAATAAATTAAATCTAAGAAATGAATTATTCTTAAAAATCGTCGTAGAACCAAAATTCAAAAAGGTTATGTAAATTAAGTCAAATAATAATTGTTAATAACAAATTGTAATAAAAATTATTATTGTTTATAACAAAAAATTAATCTAATTGTAAAAAGATGCAAAATATAAAAGATCTCCCCTTCTTTGAGATTTTATCCCTACTTTTTGGAAATCTGTTTCTTTAAGGGACAACCCACAAAAAGTGTAAATTTTGAGTGGGCATAGACCCTTAAAAACGCATGTTTGCGTAAGTCAGCAACTCATTCAAAAATTTTACAGTCATTCAAAAAGTTATTTCAACATTCAAATTTCTACATAGAAACTTAAAAGTGTCATTCAAAAGTCATTTTCCACTTTCAAATTCACATACACTATTTCAAATCAAACGTCTAAAAAATTATTCATTTATTCCAAATTCTAAATTTATTCAAATTTTATAATTTCAAGTTTCAAAAGTTTAGTGAATTTTCTACAATTATTACAGAATCAGAAATTATTAAGGAAGGACGATTAATCTAATATATTTTGCATCTTCAGGGAAAATTATCTTTGATAAACAAAAAAGTAAGTTTTAAAATTATAATTACTATCTTTACTTTATTTCTTTTTGATAACTTCTTTCACTTTCTAAAAATCTTTCACAATTTCCCAATTCCAAAGAATACTGCCGTATTTAAGTTGGCGGTTATTCTTTAAAATTGTATAATTTTACCTATGTGATTCCAATTTATTTTAACCTTTGATTCCAAATTTTACTCCTTATTTTATGTATTTCCTTAATTTTTCAATTATCTATAAGTAAATTCAATAGAAATAAAATAATCAAAATCCATTCCTAAGCTATTGGATGAGAATCCAGGCCTAAAATTGTAATAAATTATTAAAACTATAATTTTAATTTAAAATATAAAAATTAAATTATTATTATTTGTTATAAAAATTTATAAAATATTATTTATGTTACATTACGTAACATTACCTTTATCGAGAAAACACGTTTCTAAAGTTACAACTTTAGAACGTTTTTTAGTACTCAAAACTTTATTGTAATATTTAAACTACAGTTTTTTATGTTATAGAGTATAATAATACTAAATAAAACCTTTTGTAATGATATTATTTTATTTTTTATTTTTCTCTCTCTCTCTTTGAAATATTAAGTAATATAAAGTATAACCCTTCTTCTACATTTAACTGTGTTGCAATAAATGGTTCCAAATTGAGCTTATTACGTGCTGAGAAATGTTTTTATACATACTTATTCTACATGAACCTTTTATTATTAAGTGTTGACAGACAATTTTCATGTTAAATTGATGAGTCATTTCTGGATACATTCTTTTTGTAATTTATTTGTCTTAATTTTTATTTAACATAGTAAAAATTTTTGTCGAAGAATTAACAATGTCAACTAATTATTATTCATTAAATGTGTGTATTTAAATTCAACACATTTTTAATCCTGAGATCGTATTTGGTTAAAAAATTTATTGTCAGAATTTTAATTACATTTATACATTTTATTAAAATTTGTTATTAGAATTTTAATTGCTTTATAAGCTATTTTAACATTTTCTATATATTTAAGTTTTAATATTTTTTTAAAAATATTTAATTTCAGAAATTTAACAAAAACTTGACTGTCATTAAAAATAACTTATTTTAATTACGCAGTGGGCAAAAAACATTATTTGAATACCCATGTTCTTAAAATGTTTTAGAACATTATTTAGCAGACATAAAACGTTCCAAAAACGTTATAAGAACGTTTTTGAAACGAACATGGTTTTTTGCCCACTGGGTATTATTTTGCTATATAAGAAACGATTTTTTTTATCTAAGCTTTTTAAGAAAAAGCTGTACATTCAATTAATTTGAGCTCAAAATAATGTTCGGGTTTATTGGACCCATAGTGACAGTTAAGGGTTAAAATATGAAATATTTTAAACAAAAATTTTAACATTCGGATACGTTTTACGTAAGAAATATTTTAAACATAAAGGTGTTTACTTTGAATGATACTGAAATTATAATCAAGCTCAATGCCCGATCAAGGTATAATGTCCTTTGACTCAATAAATAAATGTGTTTCACTTTTACAGCGACGACGTATTTATTGTCTGCGTCAACAATACGCAACAGTAATCATACTAATAACGTTGCGTCAACAATGATTTTACCGATATTGTGATGGAGGGGACTACTATAAGGTCTTCCCTGAGTCTTTATTGCACCCACTTGCACTAAAGACATCTGGGACCACTTGTTGTCGCGGGGATAGATCCCGTGTACAATAAAATCGAGAACTCAGTTTTGGCCACTTAGAGTTTTCGTATTTACTTTTAGTTCACAATTTTTATAATTATAATTTGACAATTAATATAATTATCTATCAAAATGCAAATTAAATATCTTTTTTTAATTTTAAGTTTTTCGACATTGTCTATTTTTGCTGAGGAAATACGTAAGTATTTAAAATGATTTTACATGATTTGCGATAAAATTTTACAATTGTATATTTGTATATTTCACAATTTAAATAATTATTATATATAAAAGTTTAAATAATTCAGAAAATAATACTCTTTAAATTTAAATTATCCTTTATATATATGTTTTTCCTCATAAGTTTATAAGATTTTAATTCTAACAAAAACAGAAAATTTTTAACAGGATTTCGCTAATTAAATTAAAAAAATTTGTTTACTCTTCCGAATTAGTAAACTAGTTTAGGTAATTAATTTTAGTGAATGAATACTGCAATTAAAAAAAGTTTACTAGTCACATTTTACTAAAAACATATTAAATTTATAAATTATTATAAACTATTTAATTAATTATTCACTATTATTATATTATTTACTACCATCAATATTCTCTGTTAAATTTTTTATATTAACATGAAAAGATTTAAAGAATTATTTTATTTAAATTTATTAATGTTAATTAATTTATAAAAATGTTTGATAATAATTTTGTAATAATTAATAATATTAAAAATATCCCACCTTTATTTTAAATTAGAAAATCAACAAAAAATATTTATTTAATTTGAACAAAATATTATGCTTCTAATTAAGCTTTTTATTTTCTTTAAATGAGAATTTTTTTAATTAGAGGATCTTTCCTGTCATTTTAAGAAGATATAACCTTTAAGACAACTTTTTCAATATTTTTTTAAAGTAAGGTATATGTCGCTGAAACTATTCCTTTGTATTTGAAAATAATCTTCTATATTTTATGATAGAAAAAATATTTTGACTTTCGCGAAGTCTATTTATACGTGAAAATTCAATCTTCTTCAAGAATTAAGTTTAAAAGAAAAATTCTTTTTATTGTTATTATTAGTTATTATCATTATTAATATTAATATTATTATTATTATTATTAGTATTATTATTATATTAAATCTCCAGCTGAATATAAAATATATGACTGAAATAACTAATTAATTAGTACAAAAATAATTATATTTTTCTAATTATTAACGTTTTTATTTTTCAAAAAATTTGTATTTATTTCTAAAATCACGTATATTTTTTAATTTAGAAATTATAGCCTCTTTAATTAAATTACACAGAATTGAAAATTTATTCAATATAAATATAATCGGTTAGTTGACTATTATCATATAAATATTTATTTAATAAAAATAGTAATTTGTATAAAATTTTTTTTATTTTAGTCAAATTAAAAGATATTTATTTTAAACACATAAATTATTAAGTCGAATATACTTACTTAAATAAAAATAAAAATTATTTAGTACAAATAAATATTTATTTGACAGTAGCCAAGTAACCGATTATTGAACAAAATAAATTTTTTTTCAAAAATTTAGAACTTAAAGTTTATTTAAAATATATTTTTGAAATTTGTTATTGTTATTGTTTATTTCAATAAATAGAAAATTATTACATATTATATTGTTTTATAAAACATTTCATCTTTTAAAAGTCGCGTGTTATTTAATAAAATTAAATTTTATGAGAAAATTTTTCATCAGTAGAAGATTATTACAAAAATAAGAAAAACAATTTTTGAAAGAAGCTACCTTCTAAATAATTTTAATGCAAAAATATAGTTAAAATTGAATAATTGCCTTCCATTGACGTATAATGTCCTGCTGCGAGACATGCAATTTTATAATACTTCGGTGTTCGTAATTCTTTTGGTTTTCGAGATATTCATGGTTATATAATGTGAACATACATTATATGCTTCAACGACGATCTTTTAAATTTTTATTAATAAATTGTTGACTGTAACATTTTACAAAAGATTTATATAATTAATATTTATTGATTAAAATTAAAAAAAATTTCATTATATATTTAAGTGTATTTAGTCAAAAAACATTTTTAATATTCTTTTTGAACCTATGAAATTTGACTACAAATAGAAAAAACTAATTCGTTTATCAGAAGATATAAATGAAAAATGTTTATCAATTTTTAACAAAATTTGTTACGTCTACCTACGTTTCCAAATGTAAATGTATCATAAAATATTATAAAAGAAAATTTACATTTAATTAACAACAAGAATAAAAAACAGAAAAACTTTAAAAATTAAATTTCTGTCATTTCTTATAAAATTAAATATTTATATAAATGCTTACAATTTTTTAACTATTAGAATTAAAAAATAAAACGAAATTGGATGTAAACTATTACCAAGTTCGAATTAAAATTTTTTTTAAATTTAAAATTAAAAACAACGTCCTAAAAACCTTGTCATTTTATTATTATTAATAATAAAAAAATAAAAAATGGGTTTAACGAATAACAAATAAATTGAATTTATAATAAATCGATCACTCCTCTTTGTTATTATTGAATTAACTATTATTTAAAATTAATTAAAATAGGACCGAGAGATAAATTCTTAATTCACACAATGAACTTATGTTGGGGGGGGGTAGATTAGACTCCTTTAGAAGGGGTTTATTTGAATTTAAAAAAATCCTCGGTGGTTTCTTTAGCTTCTGAAGTTGTTTGAAACTTTATAAACTTCTGATCGTTTATCGTTAAAATTGAAGATATTTAAAAAAATACAATTACAGAAAAATTTTATTTTTATAATAAATATTGCTTATAAGAAATTAGAGGGAACAAGCAAGAAGAACCCTTAATATGTTCTGAATGAGATTTATTTAAACAATTTTAAGTCTTGTTATTTATAATTTAATTTATTATATTTTTTTATTTTTATTGTTCATAATAGGTAACGGAAAATATTTAAAACCAAAGTAAAGGTTTTAAAATATTTATCAAAAATTTTTTTTGTCAAATTGTCATTTTAGTTTGAATAGAAAAAACTTAATGACAAAAATTTACTCTACACGATGCTTTTGTTGTTGATATATAAGCAGCTACTCACCTGTCATTGAATCGTTAGAATTTTTGTCAATTTTTAATTATGTATTCTTGATGCCACTTGACATTGAGAATAACATTGAACGTAGAACCATATAACCTGAAAGTTAATCGTTCAATTTACATATACTATAAACACACTAGCGTTATCACAAGTATTTTTCAATGACAGTAAATTAATTTTTACCACAGACATGAAAAACTTAATTAGTTTAATATTGGTACCATAAATGAGAGTCCAAAAAACAGTTTTTTTAATCAAATATAAATTTTTTTTTGTTATACCATTAAAGAAGCAAAATTCTTATTAAAATATATATTTCTTCTCTCTAAATTTTAATTAGTGAGAATTCGTTCTCCAATTTAAACTAGTGAAAGAATTTTCTGTAATTCAAATTAAGGGAGTTTGTTTTTTCTTAGAATTGATAAATTAGTTCGTAATTAGTTTCATTATATATTTTACTTCTAGGACGTAGAATCCGTAGAATATTCTGAAATATCCGTTGCTGTGAGAGCTTCAATTATAACATTTCCTATATAAATTAACTCTTCCAACCATCATTTATTTTTAAAAATACTTCTTATCTTCATATTTTGTAGATTTAATAAATATTTTTTAAAGAAACTGAAAGTTAACCTAGCTGGTTTAACTTTCGGAATATTCAATCCGCCAGATATGCAACTTTATAGGAGAGCTAAGTTAACAGGTTTTCATTACAGGTTTTCATATTAATATACAAAAAAAGTCCTTTAACATCTAATGAAATTTATGCTTTTGCCTAAATATCCATTTATTATTATTATTATTATTATTATTATTATTATTATTATTATTATTATTATTATTATTATTATTATTATTATTATTGAACAAAGAGATATTTCTAGCACCTTCGTAAGATATCGTAAATATTCCTATGTTATTAGGTTTGTCATTATTTTTAACATTTCTGCTAATTGATGTCCCTCTACAAGGCTCTTTATTGTTAATAAAATTCTTTCTAGCTTTTTACATCTAGACAAAATATCAAGATTTTTATGATGTTGATAGAAATCTGTGTAAAATTTTAACAAAAGTAAAAATATATTATTACAATATATATATATTATTCCATAAAAAATCTAAAATCAACTTTTATAAGACCTAAAATTTTATGAGTTACTAACAAATAATGGAATATAAACAATCTAAGAATATTTAAATTTTCTCTAAATTTTATTAATAACAATAATTTATTTAAATTGTAAATAATTATAATAATTATTTTAATAATAAAAATGGTTTAATTATTTTGTCAAATTTCAATTTCCAAATGCAAACCTTATTTGAAGGTTATAGTGGTAATCACAGGGCAATTTAATGAAACTTTATAGTACAGTCACGTATTAATGAAATCTGAATAATTTTAGCATTAAGATTTTTATAAGTCAACTTCGAATTGTTAACGGATGCCTGACATCTATATATATATATATATATATTTTTTTTAATTTAACTCTATACATTTATTGTTTTTTTAAAAGATTACAAATTATTTTAAATATCTAAGTTAGGATATTATTACATATTAATAATTTGAAATCAACCACATAAATCGATTTATTTAATATTGTATTTACAGTACGTCAACTTTTGTAACGCTAATAAATTGCTGCCTATCAATAAGGGCATTTTTTATTTATATGCAGAACTAATTATTTACAATAAAAAGATAACAATGTGTTACGAAACATCAAATAAGAAGCAGGATCCTTCATAACAAAAGCAATGTTCATTTCCTCAACATTTAGCTTCCTCATTGCGATCAGCAAAAAATTTTCTTCCTCAAGAGGAAGCTTTGTGTTTGTTATGAAGTTAAAAAAAAATATAATTGTTTTTCATTGTAGAATATTTATTTCATAAAAAAGACCACTATAGAGAAAATAATTAGATGAATTATAATATCCAAATGAAAATTTTCTGGTTTTTTAAATTGAAAATCGCGATTAATACTTTAAATTTTAGGTAAATAGGGGCGGTTTAAATTCTGCACATTTGGATTGCATACAGGGGAACTGTATACAACTAATCCTACAGAGTGGGACT